ACTAGGCTAGGCTGGAAAACCGTGGGCTCTGCAGACCACAGAGAGGGGCGGCAAGCCCTGCGTGATGCTCTGCGGAAGGCCACGGGGTGTCAAAATGCATTTCCAGGCTCCCCAGTGCCACCGCGGGAAGGCCGCCCCCACCACTGAGTGCCAAGGAAACAGTGTCGCCAGTCATAAATATTTAACAGGTGCATCTTGAGACACACCGGGGGATTACTGGAAGCTCAAGGTCGTTAAGGATGTCAGAAAAGACACCAACTACCCACAGAGTCATGTGTGGTGGGAGGCAAAGGGACCCCTGCTACAACACAGGGAGACCCTTCAAACCAACCCGGTCACTCCTTGTGGGACATTCTCCCAGCTCTGTGCAAGGCTGAACCTGGAACCTCTTAAAGCCCCGAAGGCAACATGGTGCCAGGTGAGGGTGTGTGGCTTGCTCACCCGAGTCCTGAACCCAGCGTGTCGATCGCAGAGGGGTCAGCACCCCTCCATCGCTGCAGCCACAGCACGTACCTTACTTTCCTGTAACCTGCCTAATTGCGCCCCCTCCAACCTCCAAGCGTTAAGAAGTGGCCCCAGCAGCACAGCGACCCGCCACTCCGCATGGGTGAGTGGGAAAGTGCAATTAAAAACATATTTAGGTTTAGTTAATTTGAGAAACATCTCAGCTCATGTTTATTCTCGGCATAAATACCCCTTCAAATAATTAAACGGCCTCTTTCCTCGTTGACACTAACCTCTTCGGAAGCCCAGACTTTGGGTCGCTGCCGGGTGAGTCACCCAGCAATCCCAGTGCAGCAGAGTCACACCAAGCCCTTCCCCCAGCCAGCAGTTACCTAGCAACTAGCCTAGCAACCTCGTAGCCCAGAGATTAATCCCCGGGTGATAATCATAAAGCAACATCCAAAAAGACATCCCATCTCAAGGATGCCGTCCAAAGGTACAGAAGGACGGGGCACACTGCAGCGGCACCTCACTCCCGAGCTCCACAAATTATAGACAAAAGGAGCGCACAATATTGACTTGTTGCTTCAACAGCTGGAAGGCACAATTTCCTTCCTGCCATTCACACACGGAGTCAAAAAAAAGCACAAAGAGATGGCCGGGGTGGGGAGCCACATGGATGCTGCCCAGTCACCAGCAGGATGAGGAAGATGTTCTGTCCCAGCCAAAGCTGTGACTCACCCCCAAGCAGGGGTGGGGAGTGGGGGGCTGCAGGTCCTCATCTCCGTCCTTCCCTCACACATGCAGCTCAAGTACAACCTTTTGCCGGCTCACATCCCCGTTTTCCAAAAGAAAGCCCCGAGCCCTTGACCAGCTGATGCCTCCCACAAGAGAAGCATGCATTCAGACACATCAGAAACATAATGGGTGGTAAACGACCAGGAGAACATTCTGGAAGGGTGAGTACCTTTAGCATTTCCAAAAGCACAAGCCCTCCTCTTGTGCTAGAAGAGAGCCCTGCCCATAAAAGGTTACAAACTCATTACCATGAGGATCACCTGGAGAGCTTGTTACAATGCCCGTCCTAGGGTCCAGGGTCCCTGTTAAATAGAACTTCAGGTGGTTCCAATGCAGGCCGGCTGCCTCCCACACACAGACCCCGCAGTGGGCGCGCAGGGGACCAGGTAAGCCTGCTTCCTGTTCAGAAGGGCCCTGGAGCAAAGGCAGGCTGTGCAGGTCGGGCCCATGGGTCACACTGGCCAGGTGCCTGGGCTCAGAGCTCGCTCTGCCGCGCAGTGACTGTGACACTGCGCAGGTCACCTGCCAACTGAGTGACCACCTGCAGAGGGCTCACATCCAGGCGTGGCCAGAGAGGGCTCCCTCAGGAACTGCCATCCAACTCACCCAACAGGCGAGAGTCCCAAGAGCAGCCCGGGAAACGACACCAGGCCCCCACTCCCGCGGGGCCGGCAGCCCTCTCGGCCATCCCCGGACGTTCGGAGCCGTCACTGTGAGCGTGCCCAGCACCGGCGGGGAGGTGGCAGGCCGCTCTTCTCCTGCCTGGCACAGAGGGCCTAGAAAGTCCTGTCCGCACCCAGAGACCTCGGTGCCATCAGGCTGCCTGAGGTGGCTCGGGGCCACCTGCTTCCCCCAGGTCACCAACTCAGGTTGCTGGGCCTTTGTGTACAAGGGCCACCCCACTCACTCGAAGAGAAGCACAGGCCGGGGAAAGGGGCCTGGACACTGCGACAGAAAAGGAAGGGAAAGCAGAAAAATGATGCTTACGTGGGGGAGGGCGTGGGGTATGCAGGCCCCCCATGTCCGAAGGCTGCTGGGAAGGAGGGGGACTTGTGCCCCTGAGGGCCTTGGGGCTGCAGCTACTGGGAAAGGGTTTCAAATCCACAAAGGAACACGCTTCTTAGAAGCAGCACAGTGGGTCGCCTGGGGCTGAGAGCGTCCCCTGCGAACCTGTCCTCCAGAAGGAGGCGCCTGGACCTCAGGTGCTACAGACAAAAGCAGGCCGCCCGGTCCGAGATCTCTGCCTCGGGTCCCCGCGGCTGTAAAGCGCAGATAATAATGGTGCCCACCCCGTGAGGTTTCTGAGGATAAAATGAGACCAGGAGTGTAACGAGCCTGGCCCATGGGAGCGCTCCAGAGCTGGTCCATGCGGCCACTGGCTCGGTATGGGGGGGGCACTGGAAGCACCAGGAGGTGAGGTTAATCCCAGGAGTCTTCACGGCAGAGGC